GAGAAATAGACAGATAGATAGATAGATAGATAGATAGATAGATAGATAGATAGATAGATAGATAGATAGATAGATAGATAGATAGATAGATAGACATTGGCCTTCACTTGACCTTTTTGAGGAATTTTGTAAAAAACAAACATGTTCTTAATGTTTCTATATAAACTTCGACGACGATGCTTGTGTTCATGCTCTCTCTTTCCTGATGTTGTTGCAGTTTCTGTTGTTTTATTGTTAATATTGTTGCTGCTGCTGTTGTTGTTGTTGTTTTTGTTTGGTGTTGTTGTTGTTGTTGTTGTTGTTCTGGTATAATTCTAGAACGTGCTGTTTTACATTTGCTTGTGTTTGGAACACTGCGGTTGTTACTACAAATGTAAACATTGTACTAGAAGTTGTGGAAACTGCACAGGTTGTTCGATCGTTCTTTCGTTCTTTTGTTTGTTTGTTTGTTTGTGTGTTTGCTTTTTGTTTGTCTGCTTGTTTGTTTGTTTGTTTTGTTTGTTTTTTGGGGGGTCATTTTGAATATTTTTCAAATTTATAGAAACTGATCAACTCCTGAACTCCCTTCTAACTCAGCTCATTTATTTCTATTTTCCACAGGCCGATTCCCATTCACCTACCCCGCCCCTCAGGGCTGATGGACAGCTACTCCTTCCGAGTACCCTCATTGCCGCTACCCATGGACACGCCCCCAAAGCCCACCCCTCGCCTGTGGAACCCCGCCCTCGACCTCCGAACCACGCCCAGTTCCAGCAGTTCTTCCGCTTCCTCTAAGAAGGTCGAGGAGATGAGCCGAGTCCACACGATTGTGACGTCATCAGACTCCCGAGCCTCGTCTCCGGTGCCGGCTGTGGTCGCGTCTGCTTCCGTCATGAAACAGCTCTCGTCGTCGAATTCGTCTTCTCTGCCGTTATCGTCATCGCTGCCAGTTTCAAACTCATCATTATCAGCGCCGCCTGTGTCATCACCTTCTTCTTCTTCTTCTTCCTCGTTGTCTGTAGCTGCGTCAACGGCACCACAATCGTCATCATTGTCGTCCTCGATGTCGTCTAAAAATAACCCTACTGTTCCAGACACCGACACTCACCACGTGACTCAATCCTTTAAAATGTCGACCACGCCCACAAAAGTGTCACCGCCTCTTTCACCTGTCACTGTGACAAAAGTGCCGCTCGGGGTGGGCGGGGCTGCGGTATCTTTGTACGAACACTTACAGAGGCACTTACCAGCAGCAGCCGTGGAAAACCCTTTGGCATTTCTAGCAGTTGCGAAGGGCGGCTTCTTCCCGAATATGATTGGCGGTTTGGGCTTACCTGGATCCCCAATGGCCGCTCACGTTCTCCCTGGCCCCGCCCCTCCTCATCCTTCACACGCCCTATCTATGTCCGAGCGACAGTTGTCTCTGCATAACGCCTTCGCCTTGGCGCAGTCCAGAGCTGTGATGGGGCGTCTCGTGTCCTCTAGTCAACATTCTCCTCTCCAGGTGGGGAGAGCTGGCGGGATAGGATCTCACCACGGGGCGCATCCACCTTCCCATCCTCATCCCCCACCACCTCAACGTCCTCCTCCCCACCTCCCCCACCCACAAGCACACCACCCACACGCCCCTCACCAACAACCACATCACCCTGCAAGTCTCCCTCACAACCCCCACCCTCACCACCCACCACCACAACCTCCCCCTCAACAACAACAGCAACAACAACAACAACAACAACAACAACCCTCGCCGCTTTTAGCCTCATCCCTGGCTCTCAGCGAGAGATCCATCTCTCTCCAAAACGCCATCGCAATCGCGCAGTCCCGCGCACTGATGGAAAGAGTCAACACTAGTCAAGTCCTGTCCCCAATCGTCCCTATAGACAACCCAGTATCGCACGGATACGGCCGAAAACTTTTCCCGTGTCCACAATGCCGTTACACAACGGACAGACGAAACAACCTCAAACGCCACATGCTGACCATGCATCAAACGAGCGCCAAAATGCTGGAATGCTGCGGCATCTTCTTCAACACGAAAGCCTCTCTCCGGGAACACGCCATGATATTCCACTACCACGGCTACACCTGTTACTTTTGCGGCAGACGGTTCTGCAGAAAGGCGCTGCTCAAGCGGCACTTGTCTGTACACAACGGCCAGAAAGATTTTGTCTGTAACGTCTGCGACTACGCCACGTCGCATAAAAGTAATCTGGAGAGGCACCGAAAGGTCCACTCACGACAGGAAGATGGGAAGGATGACATGGACTGCGAGCACGGACATCACTGCCATGACGACATCAAGTCCAACAGCAGTGAGGCTGTGAGTCATGACGACGTCAGCAGTGACGAACTCTCCGTCTGTTCAGACTATGATGACGACATCGACGTCGAAATCAACGTGCACAGTGATTGAGAAACATGTTTTTGTTTTTTTTTATTAACGAGTACGATAGTGAACGTTAACTGAAACGCCAATACGCATAATAATAATAATATTGATGACGAAGTTGACGTGGAAATCATAAATCAACGTGAACAGTGATTGAGAAGTATTATCCCCCTTTACGTATTTAATAGGGAATTGAAACAATAATACATATAAAATTATAATGACGTAGTTAGGGTGAAATCATAAATCAACGTGCTCAGTGAGTGATTGAGAATTGTAATCGGCATTAACGTGTGTACTAGTAAACGTTAACTGAAACGTCTATACCTATTATGATGACACGGTCAACGTGGAAATCAACCTGCACAGTAATAGAGAAATGGAATCGGTATAGAAACTGTATGTTGACATTTTCAAGTGAAACGCGAGTGCTCATTTTATGAAGACAACATTGGCGTGGAAATCCAGGTGTATAGTGATTGAACAGTATATAACCTTCGCAGAGATACAGTTCATTTATACATTGTCATGTATGTATCCAAAATATAAGAGCGAGTATTTACTCTCGAAAGCCGACTTCTACAAAGACATTAGTCACTTTATGTAAACAAATACATTTATGAATGTTTGAATACATCATTTGGTGACTGAATGCTTCATCCCTACTCATACACCAATGACATCAGCTGACATATACTAAACTATTGTGCTGTGTACATAATGAAATCGTTGAACTAGCACTTAATTAATTATTATTTGTTTCTCTATCTTCTCATACTTTGCCAATCAATTCATTAAGACTGTGGTAATGTTGAATTCAGTGTATCTAAATGATATTGTTAATAATATACTTTCTGCTGTTGGGAGCTATTTGTGAAAAATTTAGGGTGTAAATTCATTTGATTCCCTTTGTTTGTTTATTTAATTATTTTGGTTTGTTTGTTTGTTGTTGTTGTTGTTGTTTGTTTGTTGTTGTTTTTTTTGGGTGTTTTTTTTTTTTTTTGGGGGGGGGGGGGTGTTGTTCAAATTGCTTGTGTTTTGGGGTCACTTCATCAACATAAGTTTGGGTATATTGTGAAGTAAGTGAACCAACACGTTGTATTTTGCCTTCCAACGACATGTTCCTCCCTCCCTCTTTTTGAATTCAACACAATACAAATTAATGCTCAAACACCGAACCTGAGTTTTGTAGAAAGGAATCTTGTAAAAAAAATAAAAAAATAAAAAAAAGACTGCCATTGAAAGCACAAGTAAAGATCAAAAAATTGTACGTAGCTCAAAAGTCCTCTGATCAACAGAGACTGGAAAAAACAAGTACGCAATATGTGAAGATAGTAATTATTATTCTAAAAAGCATTTTTTTTTCTCCTGATTCTTTAACGCCATTTCAAGTTTTTAAAAAGAAACGAGCCTTTTACATTAACATGTATTTAACAGCTAAGATCAAGTTCGCTTCCATTATGAATTTTCCGCAATGCTAGAGGTCGCATCCATTAGCCTTTGGTCTGTCATATTGTTAGATAAAAAAATTTTTTAGGTAACATCATACGTGGAGAATGTTGGGGTGTTTGTTTTTTCTTCTTAAATTCTCTTATTAAAATTTTTGTTGTTGTAATTTTCAATGAGACATAAACTCCCCGTCGCGTTATTTGTTGACTTGTCAGTTGTACTGTGAGAAAGAAGATTATTTGTCAAAAAATTATTGAGGAAAACAAAATATTTAAATAGGATATTTGTCCCTTATTCTTTAAACGTGTACGTCGATCGAAATGTTTGGGTTTTTTTGTGTTTTTTAAAATATTTTTTAATGGGCACAAAACATCTTTAAAAATTATTTATCTTATTATAGCTTCTCTAATTTCCTTTGCACTTTAGCGTTTTAATTCCGATGGGTTAAATTTCTAAATCTAGCTGTAACGCTTTACGATCTTCGGTTCTATAATTATATTTTAAAAATATGTGGTACACTTTTTAAAAAATAACACCAACAGCAAAGACAAAAACGAAGCTCTGATTTCCCGGACTATCATGTTTAGAGAACGATTGACGGACTATTAGTAAATTATTACCTTTTTAAAATACACACACACACACACACACACACACACACACACACACACACACACACACACAACAT